AATCTTTTTTTAAAGATTACTTTTTATTTGTAACAAAATAATAAGAGATCTAGTAAATATTGAATACTTAAAATTAAGGTTTCTTTAAAAGTAATATATCTGTCATCGTTTCAATGATTTTGGCTAGTTTTAGTAATTTTATGGTTAGTGAAGTAGTTTGAATAGTTAGAACTTGAAATAGTACTAAGTTGGACTCTTTCCCCATTAGGAAAAAAGCCAATTCTCCGTGAACTTCCAAGCTCCCGCTTATTCATATGTGATCTATTAACCTATGTCAAAACTTCCATAAACTTTATATAATTTTGAATTTTCCCCCCATAATCTATTAAAATTTGGTAAGTTTACACAAAACTGCAGACGGAATCTGTTTTCCGTTAACATGTTGTAACGTGGATTACAGATGGCTAACTGGGTTCTGTTCGATTTTGTGTTGACCAAAATTAATTGGTTTTTGACCGATTTGACGCAAAACGACACCGTTTTGCATTTGGGGAAAACAAAAAAAAAATCAAGGTTTTGATTTCTCTTTGTCGAGAGAGATAGAGAGGAAGAAGCGGGCCTCGTTGATTTCTCTTTCTCTTCTTGTTGCGGAACCGTATTCTTAATATGAGACTGATTGTGTAGGATGTAAAGTCTTTGATCTTTCGGGTTAACAAATCACACTGATTGTTCAAAACTTCACAACGAATCGCCAATTAAAAGTTTCCTATGTCTCTTTCCAATTATTTTACTCATATCTCGACCAAAACTTCACAACGAATCGCCAAAAAAGTTTTGATTCCAATCCACATCACACTCTTTGCATTGGGTCTCTCTAACTACTTTTATTTTATATACTTTGTATAATAGTCGGACAGATTCTTCAACGCACTGAAAGGCCACGACGCTCTTTGCCACCTTGTTATTCTTCCTCACGAGAGCCACGGGTACTCAGCACGCGAAAGCATTATGCACATTCTTTGGAAACTGACCGTTGGCTTCAAAAATACTCTGTTCCAAAACATCAGATGCAGACACAAGTCTTGAGGTGATAATCCGGAGTTTAGTGAGCAAGAAGATCACTCCAAGCTAAGGAGAACACTTCTCTGGTAATGTGTCTCACAATTTCCAAACAGAATACAAAACCACAAGTTTTTCTGACATTTGATTTGCTGCTTCAATTTGTTTAACATTCTAGTTCTGCTTTTCTCAGAGCCTTGATAACACAGAGTTT